CCGTGTGCCAGCCAATTGCAGGGCACACACAGAGACAAACAAGCATCTGCGCTCACACTCACACCGAGGGACAATTTAGAGCGGGGGTGTCAAACTCATTTTTGTCGTGGGTGACATTTTAGTTACCATTTCCCTTGGAGGGCCGTTATGAAACCAAATAAAAAGTCAATAATAATAGTTCATTCTACTATTGTTTCAATTGGCTGGCATCCAGTTCAGGGTGTACAACTGCCCAATGACGGCTGGGATGGGCTCCAGCACGCCCGCGACCCTCATGAGGATAAGCCGATTAGAAAATTAATGGATGGAAGGATGGATGAACATTTGGGAATAATTTGCCTTGATCTTTTTTTTTCATCCTGCAATCCTTGGTAGGGGTGTGTAGAGTTTATATTAATGCAAGTGATATTTTGCCAACTTTAAATAGCTAGTACTGCGCTGGCAGCCGGGATCAGCTCGATGCTGAAAATTGCATATATACGACAGGAACTACGGAACATACAGGCAAAGGAAAATATGTATTTCCTGTTTATTTATTTATCGTTTTTCAACTTTTAAAAGTGTCAGTTGCTGTGCTTTTTATTGCCACCCTCACACCACTGATCGACCCAACAGCCAGAATCCATGTGATCGTACACCCTAAAGGTTGTTTGATACTTTCGGTGACCTTGTCCTCCAAAATTGGTCACAATGTCATCACAGCGAAATACAACCCCAATTTAATGCCATTACAGAAAGGGAGGTGTGAAAAGATATATAAATCAATTAAAAAAAATAGAATGATAATCCCCAAACCGCATGATGGTCCACCCCAATGTCTTGTTGAGGAGGGTCTGCGATACTGACAGAATTCCTCTGTAACAGAACCCCTCGGTGAATGATGGACTTTTTCTAAAATTAGCGCCAACCGAATCTTCCCAACCTTTGCTTCTTCCATGCTACAAATATCACATTGCTGATGTATTCGATATTAAATTACATCGTTTTAACTGCGGCCTGTGCAGCGTCTGTTATCAATAA